ATATTATATTTTATTAATCCCAGTTTTATCTTTGTTTAATCCTTTTCATAAAACTTTAAATAATTGACATTTTTTCCTGGAATGTAAGAGAAACTTAAAATTTCAGTTGTAGATCTTATAAACTTATTTTAAATTATCATTTTTAACAAACACTGCCCCATTACTAAATTTATTAAATACCCAGCATACAGTATTTGGTTTACGTTTTCTATTGACACTGCTACATGTTTAATTGGTAAGAATTCATTAATTTGATCTTCCTGTGTAATGTATATCTTCAAAGTTCTGTAAACATCTTGCAACAAAGATATGTAAACATCTTGCAACAAAGATATGTAAACATCTTGCAACAAAGATATGTAAACATCTTGCAACAAAGATATGTAAACATCTTGCAACAAAGATGATTCATTATGTGTGAGTTAGCATCCATCACCCATAGTTGGCTGGCTCAATTATCGTAATATTTGATATGGTGACTGGAAACAAGTAGTGCACATTTCCTCTTTTTTATAAACTTTTGGCTTACATCACCCAGAGTTGGTTAGCTCAATCTCTCTGTAATCTTGGTATGAAAACTGGAAACTGTCCAATGGTGCTATTTCATTATAGGATTTTTGCCCAAAAAAGGGATAAAAAAGACCCTGAAATAGGAAAATTTTCCAGTTTTTATAGACTTTTGGCTTTGAATTTAAAGACATAAGTACTTAGTCAATTATCATCCTATATATATTGCGAACTATGATGTCTATCCGAGCATTTGTTTGGCTCCCATTTGAAAAGCTGCACATGCAGGCAAAGATGAACATACACTGAAATGCTGAAGAACAGGCATAAATAATGTTAATGTCTAATTTTACTTCACAAACAGAATATTCTACACTAAATTGTCAGGAATTAATCACACTATCATTCACATTTCAAAATGTGATGTAACTTGAAGAATAAAAATGTAGATTTACTGTATGTTATTGTTGAGCAACTCTTAGCATGACTGAAATGCTCAACAATTACTTTTCACAGTGGGTGGTATTTATTTTTTTCAATTTCTTATGTAAATTGAATTGATGGCTCTAAATTATCTGAATAATTAGCAAGTTCTTTCAACTTACTGTTGCATTGCAGCAAGTGCAGAGAAATTAGACATGATTGTTATTTGTTATCACAATAATACTATTTATATGAATAGACTTATTTATTCCTGTTCATTCCCTACTGGTTTTCAAACTTTGAAAGTTATATTTATAACTATCAAAAGGTTTATTTTACAAAGTAAATTAGTTTTATTTTATGTTGTTGTTTTTTATAATAGTTGGATATTACTTTGGCTAAGTATGCATTTGTCTAATAAATAATTATTCTTTCCTATGGTTTCAAAGTGTTTGAGTAACTGCTTAGTTCTATAGATACAACACTTAAACCTCCTATGTTGTCATAGACACTTTTATGAACATGTGAACAGTACTGAATTGTCTGTAATAACAAGTCTTGGAAAGTGTACATGGTATTATTGCTTTAGGTGACTGATAAGTGAATAAATTTTTCCTTGTTTGTAAATGTTAAACAGTGCAAATGTACTAACTTGTATGTATGAAGCATTTTCATGTAAAAAGTTTAGGATTTAAAACAGTAACTTAATTCTAAATTATTGTACCTGAAGTCTGAATACAGGGTTTCCGCTGGGTTTTTGTATTTTTGACATATTATAAATTTTTTGAGACATAAATTATAAAGTACATATTATAAGTTAATTCTAACTTTATTTAAAAAAACTTAACCCAGAATATTTTATAATTGATAGTTTACTGTTTTATGACATTTATTTAGTGTAGTTTTATATTTACATTTCTGCAAAGCTCTGAAGAGTTTTGCCTGTAAATAATTCACTTGCTGACTTTATAATATTTCTGCCTATCCTAAAAAATAAGTTTACTTTTGCCCTTTGAGAATGTATTATCCATTTCTTTATTATCAAGCATGTATGTTAGTTTTTGTACAGGCCTTAATTGCCACTTTGACCATTTACTGGAGAAACACAGCTGTAGGAAATGTCCAGATTATCTTTAAAAAAAATTAGTGGAAACATTTTTTGGAAAAAACACTTTTTTTTTAACATCAATGGTAACCTCCAGAACATGTCTACCATTTAAAATTAAGGATAATTCAAGAGTTACAAAAATGAGGTTAATGAGAATAGGAAAATTAATATCATGTTAAAATAATGTAGTTGTTGAAAAAGTTACAAAGCCAGCACACACACAGTTGTTTTACTTATGGGTTTTTAAGAAGGAATACATGTGTGGTGTTCCTAGAACTCAGATGACTCCTGCAGCTGAGGAATGAAAATTTTTTTGCTGGAGAAGAGACTACAGAGTTGTATATACCACACTATTAAGTCAGATGAGAGTCCTAGTGTAGTATCCCATTATCACAGATTACCTACATAAGCAATCATTTCATTATATATGTAAATGAGGAAACTAATTGCTCAAACCTCTCTACCACCTGGTAACCCAAAGTAATAATGACTCGTATGCACTGCCAAGCAAGTATAAGCTTTGTTGAATGGTCACTGTGATGTATAAGCTAAGCCCGAAGTACGGATTAATGCAAGTTAACACTATTCATATCCTGTTCAGAAAGTCATTAACTAATTTCAGGACACCACATAAATATTTGGAAAAATTAATATTAATATACCTTAATAAAGTTAGTCTGTACTGGTTTTTAAAATGGTAAAACATTTTCATCAAGACTATTGAAATTCAAACTGAAAAATATTGCAGATATTTTTTTTTAGAATAATTTTTTTAAAGCTAAAATTTACTATACAGGAAAATTATATTTGATTGAACCTGAAAATAAAATTAACAAAAAAAATTGAGATTTTTTCAAAGTTTATGTTATTGGAATATTGTCCTTCCATGTGTATACTTCAGCATTAAATTTATTTGTTTAATTAGAGGTGAAGTTTATCAAATGAAGAACAAAATATTTTGACCTTTTTAAGCATGACAGAATCAAATGAATGAACATCATTTTGCAAGGTGTGGTGAGATATGGAAATATATCTCACTTTTCAACAATACTCATCATATTTACACAAGTTCTAAATTTTTGACAATTTTAATTCTGAACATAATAAATTTGTTTAAAGGTATGTGATAAATTTAGTTGTAGGTGCTATTTCTGTAGAAGGGTCTGATCATGGAAGCTATCTACTGTCATATGAGATAGTAGTAGTATTGTATCTTATTTTATCTTTTTTTTTTTATGGGGACTTCTTCTATGATTGTTACTTGGTGAAGAGCTGTTTCAATTACCTACATTTTATGACTGGTTAGGTACAAGGAATAGGTGAATGGTAAATTCATTTTATCATTTTGAAACAGATTCTTTTCTGATTAGAGTTTAGAATCAAGACTTATTATTATGGAGGTATTTTTCAAACTGCTGACTGTGTACACGTCTTTCTCTTCAATTAACCATCAACAACAGTCACTGGCTTATTTTCAAGTATAGTTAATTTTTATTTTATTTTATCTAAATACAGATCATCTATTTATTACACTTCTGACTTCACAACTTTTAGTGTATAAATACTGTTCTTCTGTATTTATAAACAAATGTTTGTGTTGCTTAATTTTTACATAGTCTTATCTCTTTTTTTTCCAACTCCATGAAAATCTGTCTTTCCATATCGTATGTTCTTCAGTCTCTAGTTATAAGTAACCACATGGAAATCTATATATACCACTTTATCTGCAAAGAGGACACTCACTTGTGTGCAGCTTATTCACTTGCATGTTTATGTCTGGTTATCAACTTCTACCTATAAACTGCTTTGCCAGAGTTGATTAAATTGTGAAATACACTTATCTTCTAAGGTGTCATAAAGTTGTTCATGTATCTATGTTGTAAAGTATAATGAAAGTCACTACCTAATAAACTCTATTATTTTATGTACCTAATTTATTTTCATAGGAATTTAGTTATAAAGCTCCAAGTTTTGAATTCATTTTTAAAATATTAAATAGAGGGTTGAGTATGTTATATTAAAATGATTTTGAATATGCAAATCAGCAAGTCACTTGACAAGACAGATGATATAAATTTGCTGTGTAACAAAATGTATCAGAATTACTGTTTGACATTGTTTGGCACTTTTTTAGATAGTGTGACGCTACCAAATATTAATTTTTTTGGAAGAATATGTGACAGCCCTTTCTCATGCAAAATATTCATAAATTGAGATCATATAGATTTGGATCAGAATGGGGATTTAGAATCTATAAGAATGAAATATAATTTTTTTTGTAATGGAGCATTAAGGCAATCCAGAAAGAGGCCTGCAACAAGACAAGACATATCCTAACCATTATACACAAAGTGCATATCTTTTAACAATTGAAAATCTACCAACACAAAGGTAGTGTAAAAGCTCATTCATGTACCCCAAGCAACAGTATACAATATTATCAAAAAGGATTTCCATCTGGAAACAGATAAAGCTTCCAGTCATATCTACCATGTAGCCATTTCATAATTCAATCAGCTGGAGAATGGTATTCATGCTAATCCATATGAAGACATAATGCATCACCTTTGTAGTTTTTGGCAATTGGACTGTTAAAACAGGAACAAGTGTTATCTTCATACACTAAATGGAGTTTGGAAATCCTACAGAGAAGATTAGTATGCTTTGGACATGACAACCTTTTGCAATGGGCACTGTGTTGCAGAGTTATTTTTAAGATGCACAGTCATCAGATAGAAGAGGACCAGATGTGACCACATGAACTGTAATGGCATGATGAGGCTCCAAAATCATTCTAATATAATGTACCCAACCTCTGTATATATTTGGAACAAAAGTCATCTAAATTGATTTACCAATAAATAGGAAAAAAATTGAAGATATTTATTAGACTTATCAAAATTCGAAGGATTGGTAAAATGTACTATACATTTTTAGAATCAGTATTAATGTTTCATTTTAGGTTCAAAGAATCTGCTACATTATACGCCCAGACACACAAATCTTTTGAAGAAGTTTCCCTGAAGTTCCTACAGGTGTCAGATGATGATGCTCTTAAAGTGTTTTTAAAGAAAAAAATGGAAGGACTAAAAACTCAAGATAAAGCTCAGACCACAATGATCATAATGTGGTTACTGGAAATATACCTAAACCAACTGGGTTGTCTGCGCAATGCTGAACGTCAGAATACTGACCAGTACAAATCTCTTCAAGCACTGTTTCATAGCTTATTGGAGCAGCCACGTGTTAAGGTAATGTCATACCATCTATCTGTTGATAATGCAAAATTAAGTTTAAATTGATTTTAAAATATATATGTTAGTAAACCTGAAAGTATTGAAGACACTTTCTGCTTCAGTTTTTTACAATAATGGTACTATTAATTATGCTGGATGATTTGTAAATAAAAAAATATAAAATCCATTGAAATAACTTCAGATAACATAAATATACAATATCCTTATACAGGACTAAACAAATATTAAGAAGTTATAACAGTATGAACTAGCAGTTCATAGTGTAAATTCTACGTTATGCTTATAAAAAAAAGGATTTGCTTCATTTATTTATTTGTAAAAATGAATTTTATTGTGGATAATCTAGAATGTAAAATTGACCATTTTGTCTGTTTTTGTGCATTTTCTTGTTTTTTAGACTTGTATGGCAAAGGTTAACAGTTCTAGTGTGCATATACCTTACTCTCCTGTTGTATATATTTCATATTTGATGAGGTCATTTGCTAAATTTAGCCTGAGGTGTTACTGTCTTTAGTATACCTGGTCAAGAGACATATCTATATTGTCTTGGGGTAGTTGTATCCTACTTTACCTTGTGCATAGAAGACTGTCTTGTAATTCTCACATTGAACAAAGATACTTTCACTTACTTGTGATTCAGTTTTTTATTTGTTGACTACAAAGAGCGAACATATTGTGATTGTAGTTTGTTGCTTTCAAACTAGATTCTTTTCTGTCTCTGAGGAAAGCATATTCATTTCACCTTTGAAAGAGCCAGAATGTTCACTAAGACATCTCCTTTTTTGTTTCCAACACACTTCACTTTGCTGATTGTGTGTTATTCAGTTGCTTCACTCTTATTATCTTTATTTCACAAAGTAATAGTCCAGTATCATCTGATCAGCTATATTTGTTTTTCCATTTTAAAATTGAATGATTTATTCTTACTACAACTTCAACACATTGTCTCCTTTATTTCACCTGTGACAAATCACTACACCTATCCTTTTGTAAATTAGGTCCCTAAATCCTTAATTGTTGCAGAGATCAGGTTATGTTGTGCTAGGTTTGACATTGAAATTACCACAGTTGACATCAGTCGAAAAAACTTTGGTGTCAATGACCAGATTCTAGTTATTTCAGAAATAGTTGCTAATTTGTATTTCTAACTCCTCCAAATTATGAATACATCTTCTGCTTCTAATGAGAAACTATACAAGAGGTGCCTTTGCATTTTGGCAAGAACTTCAAAATACAGAAGAAGAGCAAATCTGATCTGAAGATGGAAACAGAGCAACCCATATTGACTTGAAGAAGTCCCCTGTTTAATGCTAATTAAACTTCTGCACTTTCTTTGGTGTTTCAGAGCTACATGCTCTTTCTACTCTCCAAAACATTTGCAACATGGTCTGGCCCAGTAAGTATCATTGATACTGTAAGTTGATCTTGAGCAGATACAACCAAGTTTGGGAATATTGGTGGGAAGCTGCCAAGAATAGGTTACTGACTGTGGCTATACTGAAGCCCCTTGAGGCAATCTGTATAGTAAGCCATGAAGATCACTCAGTATTCCTGAGGTCATTAGATTGGCTAGACATAAGTTCCAGTATTTGGACATTATTATCTGCTTCAAACTTTTTGTCTCTAATTATGAAGATTGCAATCAATGTTACATATGTGATGTCCCCCAAACAAGCCAGAGGAGAAGTATTTGTGCTTTCTTCCAACTGGAACCTCATTTTTAAGTGGTCTTAGATAGTGATACCATTGCTGTGGCAGCATATCACTTGGCAGAATTTAAGAACTGCAGCTGTTAGAGAGGAGTCAGTATCATTTTTAGGACAGGCTATTCAGTCATTCACACAGAATGATATACAAAATAATAGATTGCCCTTGCTCTGATCAGTGGAAAGTACTGAAACTTGTTTTGCCTCCAAAATTTAATATTGTGATTTCTTCCTTAATCAGTTTTGCAAAGATTCCTGGACTAGGATCAAATGATGCAGCATCTGCTGATTAGTGTGGATTGCCTGGTGCTAGACATTATAGAGTACCTGGATTCTGACCAACTCTGTAGCTGAAAAGCCACTGTTACAGAGTTGTGCTAGCAACTTTACCCTGTCGAAACTTCTGAGCTATTTTCAGGTAGATTTTAAGACTAAACATGATTCTCGTGGATACACTGATGTAAAGGTTACCCCAGAATTATAGCAGCTGACTGAGAAAATATTCTGAGTGATGAGATTGTTTATGCAACACTACTTGGATATTAAAGATATAATTTCTCTAATCTGTGTTCATGGTATGAAGGAATGAAAAAGTGACTTCTACTTAGCCACATGAATGAAACATTTCTGGACTGATCTTGAGCATGATCTGTGATGGAGTTGTTTGTTTCAATAACTGACTGAAAGTTTTGGTTGTGGGGGTATATGATACTTTTCAAGGCCTTTCTTAATGACTAGATGCGTGTTTGTGTGTGTGTGTATATATATATATATATATGTATATGGTTAATAAAAAAACAAAAACTTGCTTTTGATCTTCTCCATTTCAATGGTTTCTATTGTCAGGATAAACTTAACAAAAAAATAACAGTGGCCTTTTAGTCTTTAGCATAACCTGAAGGAAATCTTTTTCCAGAATTTAGCATGTTTTGTACTGTTTAGTTTGAAATGTCATTCACTCTGAAACATGTCTCTACAGTGCATATAGATTGCAACTTTCAGAATAGCTCCTCTCTATTCACTACATTACTTGAGAGACAGTCACATCTAAAAATGTAGCTTAAATATAACTTTGAATATGTATGCTTTGAATATACATCTACCAAAAGAGCATATGTTTAACATGGATGTTGCTTCTGAATGCAGTTTCTTTCTGATACAGTTTTCCAGTAATATTATTGAAAGTAAACTTTCTTAAATAACTCAATGTAAAACTATAACTTTGGTAAGGATATTTTGTTTCTTTGATGATTAATTTTTTTTAGTGTATTTACTAATTATATTTCTGGTTATGAAATTTTACCAACATAACTTTCTAAAAAAGTCTCAAAAATACTAATACATCTGTGAATGCTATTAAGTCTTTTATAGCTTAAATGTAAATATTTTTTAATAAGCTAAGAAAATGAACTCTTAACAAAAAGAACATCTTCAATTGTGAAAATATATAGAAAGAACAGAACACGAACTTTGATCATTGTAAGACATAACAAATATTATTATCAGTTATAGGTATACCCCAAACTAAGCACTGAGTTTAAATATTAGTATTGTTCTTCTTGTTTTTTTTTGCATTTATTTTTTGCCAACTAAATTTATTACTTTACATTTTTGAATTAATGACTTAAACTAACTAGCCAGTTATTTATATTGTTGTTTTTATGTATAAATCAGGAATAATTTTAGCAAGAAATATATTCAACCAACAAATACAGATTTAAAAAATATGTCATGTAACAGATGTTTGTAAGTCATAATTGAAATGATCACATATCAATACCATCGTAAAAAAAACTCACAGACGGGTAAGGTATAGGAGTGTTTGTAGAACTGTTTCCTATTTAGAAGGTGAAATTAATATTAAGTTAACAATTAACAGAAGTAGAAGTTAAAAAATAATAATAATACAGGGATTTTTTCTCTACAATTTTGAAGAATTTAAAATTATCTAGTGCTTTTCAACAACAGTCACAGACATAAATGCAGATGAGGTAATCATCCTCACAGTATTACAAATATACATTTGTACTTTAAGAATTGGTTTGATGTATCCAAAATTTATTTTTTTTTTGTACAGGAGAGAAGTTACTGCCAAAACTTTAATTATTTGATTAATTTATTTAGCAGGGTATTTGTTTTTTCAGTTGCTATGTGTAGAGTGAATATCCATTATTAACTGTAATGATATTTGAAGTTACTATGACTTTATAACACAAAACTGGATTTATGGAAAAAGAAAGATTGTTTGTAATTACAGGAATGTGTAGGACATAATTGTGGAGCAATTTACAATCTCATAGCTAGTCATGGTGATGAAGAAAATCTCATACACTTCACAGTACTTATGAAAGGTCAGTGTTGATGTTTGTTAGTAATTCCATGGATTAACCAAATCATTTTTTTATATTAATGTTTATATGATTAACAACTTGAAAACATGAAGGTACAATAAGACTTTTATTTCTGTTTATTTTTATGATATTTAGAAATGGCCAAATAATGACAAATAAACCAAGTAATGGTTTAGTTAAAACATAATTCCTTATTATGAATCAGCACTCTGTTATTTTTTCAAACATAAAATCACATGTCAAGATATATATATATAATGAAATAAATAGCATCAATGCTATTATTTACATTAATTGTTAATAGGCAGTTAAAATCAGCACTATAAAACAATAATGAACTTAATATAAAATAAGCATTAAGAAGTTCTTTGCAAACTCCGTTGTAAATCCCAGTCGTCACCTTAAATTCATAATGGATATTGTCTGTGATAATAGCTCCCAAATGTGTTGGGAATATAGCATCTACTAGACAAAATCCAAATGATTTTAAATTAGCCAGTAATCATGGAAAATCAATTAAGGGTATGTAGTTTAGTGCTTACACCCTCAACTCATACTGCCTTTCACTGTCTACAGCCAGTTGTGGGAGGGCAGATACCCTTAAAAGTTCTTATAATTTTCTAAAAGAAATGAAACTACCCTAATATATTTCTACTATATGTCACTCCCAACCTCCACCCTTAAAAGTTCTAATAATTATTAAAGTAGAAATTAAAAAAAAACCACCCTAATATTTTTACTTTGTTATATGTTACCCAACCTCTGCCCTTACAAAAGAAATTAAATAATAAAATATCTTAAATAGAAATGAAATAAAAGATCTTCACATGAAAATCACTTTGCACTTCATATATTCTTGGAGAAATTTGTAGTAAAAACACTTCATTAAACATTCAGATTTTTTGTCTAAAAAAGCCTTGTAATGCTTATTGAAAGCCTGTGAAAATACACAAAACATATTAAAAGTTATAGTATGAAAACTTTAAAGGTCAATTTGGGGTCACAAACTCAGCCAAATTGACCAAACCCATTGTGAGAGAGTTAACTGTGCTAAGTTAGTAATTATAATCATAAAGTTTTTAAATACTGTCATAATGATTTTATTTTATTTTTATTTTGCTTTATAGATTGTATTTTATAATTTAAATCTACCTCTACTAGGTTTATTTTAAATATATGTCATTTTTCTAAGTTAACATAAAATGTATTAATGGTAATATTACTTTCAATAAATGTGTTTGGTCTTTGAAACAAGAATTTCAAAAGGTAATCATTTATTTTGTTGATAGACTATGAAAGGGTAATACAGTATCATCTGCAGAACAACAACTTTCAAGCTGCTCTGGATGTCTTAACCAAACAGGTAAGATAAATAAGTAGTAAAACATTTTCTAATTTTAATGCCAATATATACTCTCAAATTTTATTTCATAATCTGCTAACCTAAAAAAAATGTTAACTGAAAATAGTTCCAAAAATAACTTATGCATATTGAATTAAACCTGGTAAAAAGATTCAAGCACTAGTAATTTGATATTTCTGGTATTTTATCTTGGTAGGGTATTTTTTATAGTCTACAATATTTACTAGTTCTCAGTGATAAGAAGTTATTTTATTGGTATCACTGAAATGCTTGGTTTTAATATGTTAACATTGTAATCGCAACTATAGATTTAGCTTTTCGAACAAACCATAAAATGGACAATTAGGTGCTTTTCTGAAGAAAAAAAAACAAATTACAGAGTTGTAAACAGCATTAGAAAAAGTTGGTGTACAATCTAGATAATTATAAGGAGTAAACTGTTAAATTATTTTTATTTTTGACTTGTTGATTATTAAGAATAGATTCTTTCAATTTTCTGTGCAGACATGAAAGGTTCGTTTTGTAACTTTGTACAAGTTGTATGTTGTATATGCAGTTTAATTGCTGTACTAGGCTTTTGTAATATTGTTGACATCATCTTACTCAAAGCTTCTAAGCCTTTCTCATTATGTTTAATATTGTTTTTACTAGAGGACTAGATATTTATAGATTTTTCTGTCACATGTTGTAAATAAGTGCAAATACAGAGTGCAAGAAAGAAGTAAGTTAGTGAAAGTGAAGTTAGATTGCATGATTGTAAGTTTAACTGTAATGGGTGATATATAAAGTGAGATTTTCACAGTTTGTATTGTAATAACAGAGATAAAGAATAATAATTTGTCTTGTCAAAGGATGTTCTAAAGTAATTGAACCCACTTGTGTGGACTGTGACAAAAAGGAGATAATATTTTATAGTTCTGGGTATGACTGTGGTAACCAACATTTATAGTGGTGATTTTGAAGTGAATTCCACAGCTTGTGTTGTAACAACTGGAATAGAGAAGAACTTTTGACATAAAAGAGAATTATTTAAAGCTCTGGATATGACTGTGGTAACCCACGAGGTAACTTAAAGGATTTTATCATAATAACAGAGCAGAGGAGAATAATTTGTTGTGTCAGAGGGTGTTTTAAATTAATTGAACCTGCCTATGTGGACTTTGAAGAAAAAGAGAATTATTTAAATCTCTGGACCCAACTGTGTCAACTTATATTGTAACAAATTTTTGTACATACAATTGACTTGTTTTGAATATATTATTTTTAAACAAGTGGATTGTGTGCTGTCCATTTATTGTTCAGATTTATTGCCAACAATTCACAGACACCTACTGTAAAGAATCTGACCTTATAAAACCTGACATTAGCAAGCCAACCAGGATTATAGAGTGGTAAACATCAGTAGAATAAGATGTGAATGACAGGGAAAGTAGGCCTACAAACACACAACTGTAGTGTAGTGGTGGTAAAAATAGTGTAGAGATTACAATCACACTATAAAACCTTGTTGACTGATTTTTATAAATGGATAGAGAGCGGTGAGTGACTTGGGTTAAAAGATGGTGATCTACAAGAATTTATTAAACAACAACAAGACCTAGAGAGAGAAGAGCATAGACAGAGAAGAGAAGAAGAAAGACTAAAAGAAGTGAAGGAAATAGAGATTAAGAACACAAGTTGAGAAAGAAGAAAAGGAGAGAGACTGCAAATAGAGAGAATAAGAGCATAGATTGAGAAAGAAGAAAATTAGAGAAAGGACAGACTGCAAATAGAGAGAAAAAGAGAACAAACTGAGATCACAAAGCTGACCTAAAAAAAGACGAAGGACCCAGGAATGGCAATGGAGTCAATCAGGGCCAGTTGACTCAATCAGCTCAAATCTGATTGACAGAAAGATGACATGGATGCTTTTCTAGAGAGGGATATGAAAGATTTGCCAAAAGTCAGAACTGGGATAAAAGTGACTGGGAAGTAGGGCTGAGACAAAGTATTCGAATATTCCAAAGCTTCGAAGCTGACAGAGGCTTCGGATCTGCCATTCAAATGTTCGCACGTTTATTTATACACATGCACTATGCATAAAATTTTTGATTAGAAAAAAATGGCGTCAGATAAGGGCGCGGTTGGAAGTAGTTGTAAAAAGGTTTCGGACGTATGGAGTTTTTATAAGAAACTTCACGACCGTAGGAAAGCCATGTGCACTATTTGTAAAAAAGAATTTGGCTATTTAAGCGGGACAACAAACCTACGGAATCACCTCGCGTCGAAGCACTCGACTCTTTAACGTCCAGACATCAAGACAACCACAACGGAGAGCAGGAAGATGTCTACCCTTGATGGATTTGTGAGGCCTGCGAAGTGCAATGATACACGTGCAAAGAATATAACAGACAGAGTGACTCAAATGATCGTTCAAGACTTACGCCCCATTCGAACTGTTGAATGCAGTGGTTTTCGTAATTTAATGAAGTACTTGGAGCCAGGATATGTCTTACCAAGCAGAAAACAATTTACCGCTGATATCAACCTTAAACAATGTCTGAAAGAAAGGCTAAGTGAAGAAGCAGTGTTTATATCGTTAACCACCGTAAGAGCGCATTACATTGATAACAGCTGGGTGCTGACAATACTATGTAATGCTACTAAATAAAAGCTTCCAGATTCCAGAAGGCCTGTAATCAAACTCTAGGAAATCTTCCTTTCTCAGACTACACAACTGCTGTTCAGTCATATTAAGCTTTGACAGGTCAAATGCCTGAAGGTAAAACTCATGTATAATCAAACTGTAACAAATTAAATACATACATTGTTATAATATAACAAGTATACTCAATTGTAAGAAGCTTTGGTAGTTATCTTGCAAGAAGCTTCGAAGCACTACTTATAATATTCATTTCAGCCCTACTGGGAAGTCTGTCTCAACCCATATCTCACAAGAAAAGGCCTACAAGTGTATACAGGCAGGAAGTCAAAAGATGCAATGGACTATGACATTTTAAAAGTGGCCTTGCTGAAATGATATGAACTTACTGAGGAAGGTTTTCACCAGAAATTCAGAGAAGTGAAAGCTGACACTGGAGAAACTGTATTTCAGTTTGTGGCACATCTACAGTGATACTTGACAAAATGGACTGACATGGCCAAGTGTGAAAATAGTTTTAATGAACTGGCAGATCTATTAATACGTGAACAATTCATGATCATGTGTTTAACTGATTATGTTACTGTACCTAAAAGAGTGAGCACCAAAAAACATGGATGATCAAGCTGGCAAAACAGTATATGGAAGCCCATGGAGGAAGTATAACTAATTAGTCCAAATATAACCAGTTAACGTCAAATCCACCAATGGCTGACAAGAAGCAAGAATACAACAAAGGTGGTAGGATGCTATATTTCTTATAAAACAGGGCACATTGCAAATGAGTGCAAGTCTGTCACCAACAGCAGAAATCTCAACATAAAGCAGCTGGAGCTACCTACAAAGATGCTGCTGCCTGAAGAAACAGAATGGAGACAACTCATCAGATTCACCACAAGAAGAAAGTGTTATCTTTATGATTAAACAGTGCATGATTGATGGCCAGCTCAAGTTAGGAAATGGGTCAACAGTACCAGTAGTGATTGGAGCATGTGACAAACTTCAAGAGGTGCCAACAGATCACAACATGCCAGTAGGTGAAGGCTATGTTAGAGACAAGAAAGTGACGCTGGCTGCAGTAGTGCAGCAGTGGGAACCAATCTAGTATCTGATGATCAGATAATGGGCAAAGTACATTTGTATGTACTGATTGATAGAACAGTGAGGAAATTTCCCATAGCAAACATAAAGGTGGATACTCCATACTACATGGTAGACCTTGAAGCCATGTGTATGAAGGTACCAGTATACAACTGGTTGTGTTGTGCATAAGTTTCTTTTGAACTTCATCAGTTTTTGCATTGATATATATGTAGACATAAATTTTATTCAATCACATTTTCTTTTGATATTTTGAAGTTTTTTTTGTGTAGTGCATAAGTTTTTCAACTTTATCTGTTGTATAGTGATTTCGTTTTTCCTAAAAATTTACACTTTTCATCAGTTTAAGAGAGGCTTTTGTTTTGTTTTTTTCAAAATTTTTCAGTGAAATCAACCATTTTTCCTCATCATTGTTTTGTTTGAGTTGTTTAATGTTGAACATCTGCAAACCTGATATGACTGGATATTGATAAATTGTAAACATTCACTTGTTTTGGAATGGATCGGAAATTGCAAAAAAAAAAAAAGATGTGGTTTTTAGGGATGCACAGAAGTCAGTTGGAAAGTGATCTAATTTATATGTATTTTTACTTTATGCTGACATGTTCAGTCATTGCCACTTCATCAGGGGATAGAATCATGTAAGTAGTTTTTACCAATAGCCTAAGTCAGTTATGACTGTAACATCAACTGCTTTACAATGATGCAAGTTTGCAATATGAAATAATTTTTTGAAAAATTCTTCAATAGATGGAACTACATGTCAATTGAAGGTAGTTGCAAACAATAAAAGCACCATCAATTAGAAATTTTCCTGAAATATAATTTTCCAGAGTGAGATGATGAAATATAATCTTCACCATTGTCACTTGGAATGTATCACTTTAGGCCCTGAATGAAAATAAAACTATTTCAAATGTTTTACAAGCTGTTTCAGTATTTATGAGATAAAAGTTAAACTATGTTTCATTGCTTTTAACTAACTTATAAAGTCATTACTTTGCAGACTTCTTGTTAATATAAAGATGAGTTATATTTTGTTTTAATTCTGTTCAACTTAATTAAATTGGAAATTGTTTATTTGATAAATAATTAAGGAATTGCAAGTTATTGTTTAATTATGTCTACAAAGTAAAGGATTGTATTTTTTTTGTTATGGTATTTTTAACCTGTAGTCATACCTGGATGGGTACATTCCACCTCCAAGTCAAAAGTGCATAATTGTATTAAACAATTATTGAAGTAAAGGCCACCCATG